TTAGCGGAGCGAGTGTTTAATAAACCGCAGGACATTTATTTCCCCACCACTTCCCCTGAGAGCAAAAAAAATTTTACGAAATAAAAGCGAAATTTTCCCAGCTTTGATACGCTGTTCATTTTAATTATCTGTAGCTATGGCTAACATTAGAAACTAAAAAAAAATGAGTTAAAATTGATTTAAGAACCACGCCCCCTGATGGCCATTTCAGAAATTCTACGATAATTCAAACACCCTGTCCACAAAGTAATATAATATTTTTATATACCCCCTAACTTTTTTCCTTCAGCAAAAAAATGCATATGTAAACATATTTTTTTCTTATGGAACAGCCGTTATATTTTAGTCTTATTTGAGAGCCCTTTAAAAGTTTATTTAAAAAATATATGGTTATTTCTGAAAATTAAGACAAAAAACGCCAAAAAATAAATTTTTATTTAGTAGGTCATGGATCGTCATTTTTTTAATCGTTTCATTGCTTGTTTTGGCGGTCTTTGTTAAGTCATTTTCACAGAAATACATTTGTCAAACCGTTTAATATTTAATGTCCGCTACATAAACAATACCATTAATTATTAATTTGATTATAAAACATACTTAGTCGTGGTTAACCACATTATTTATTTATTTATTTAATTATTGTATTCGGACAAATGTTGAAAATGACACATAGTCGATATACACAGTGGCATATTATCTATAAACTCTTCATCTTCTGATATAACACTTTGAAATCTATGAAGTGGTAATAAAATAGGTGGCCTATATTTTTGTTCTTTTTAATTCGACCCCAAGCATTAACAGAACTATTGACTTCAAAATATTTTTGTGGATTTTCTCTAGACCCAAAGCGTACTTTTTTTCTGTTGGGTACCCCTGCTGTTGTAGAAGAAGATTCGTTAGTCCATGAACTTTTTTGAAACATATATGATCCATTTTTGGTCTTTCCTAAGAAAAATTTTAGTCTTTGTGCTTTATTTTCGTCCATGAAGGGCTAAATTTTAATGGCCTTAAAGGGGTCCCAGTTTTTTTTAATTCTCCAGAATTTTCCAAAACTTTTATGCACATGCACTCCGTCGCCTATAGAATCTAAATATATATATATATATATATATATATATATATATATATATATATATATATATATATATATATATATATATATATATATATATATATATATATATATATATAGTAATAATTAAATAACGACAAATAAAAAAAAATGGCGACCCATGGCCTACTATGTTTTTGGCAAATTTTGTCTTGAATATCAAAAATGGCCATAACGTGCCATGTTTTTGAAATCCTCTCTCACATATACATGTCAGTCTGAGTCTGATTTTCTATTGGGAGATTGTTATTAGTTTCTATTTCAGTGGTAAAACATATGTTGAGGTGTATAGAGTTTAAATGTCTAAGAAAATCTACTAGCGTTTCCATAATTTTGGATTTAGATGGAAGGTATCGAGAGCATTCTTTTCAAAGGCTTCCATAAATATACTCGCGATGACTGGTGATAGTGGAGAACTCACAGCTGTTCCCGCAGTGTATTCAAAAATTTGACCGATATAAGGAAAATATGTAACAGACAAGCATTTTTCAAAATCGGACATAACATTAAGTCATTGTGTTTACAGAAAACCTACGCACACACAACTCTCTTGTTTAAACGGCCTTAAAACTGTCTCAGCCCGAGTAATTGAACCCAGAATTAAAACACCTTACCTCTCTAATAATTTCCACATTAAAGATATTAACCGTTCCATCACAAAATACATTTCACCTTCCAATAGCAATGAGACCGAAAGCAATGCCGCACTTGCCACCATTGTCCTTCCTGATATTCAAAGCAACAGTAAAAACATATTAAAAATTCTAAAGAAAAATAACCTCAAAACCAGATTTACCACTTGTTCAAAAATCTCTCAACATCTTCGATCCATTAAAGACAAAATTCTATTTGAGATGCCAGGAGTTTACAGTTTTTCATGCATATGCGGCAAAGAATACATTGGAGGGACCGGACGAAAAATATCAACTAGGCTCAACGAACATGAGAGCTTTAAGACTAAGACAAATAAACTCATCAGCTGTTGCCGAACACAATTACGAAACCGGACAAAACGAAAAACCCGAGAGTATATAGAAATCTATAAGCCACCTAACAATCTTAACAGCAAGATCAACTCAACAAAAACCGACACAGGAGGAATCCATAAGTTTCATAAAAAGTATTACAGTATCTTGTGGAAGTTTCTTGAAAAAATTAAAAAATGGTATTTTATTGTTCACTAAAAAAAGTTCTCTATTTAAGTCTGCACTTAAATCCATCTCACTCAGTGGCAGGTCACTAATTTTTGATTTGGTCTCTTATTTTTTTTAGGCCGTCGCACGGTTATAATTTAAAAACGAAAACTAAAACGGATTTTCCCATGTCTCTTTTGGCAGACGTTGATGGTACGCCACCGATTTCTCTTAAAATAAAATTTAATTTTTTGATTTTTTTCCTATTGAATATATTTTATTTATTTAAGTTTACGTTAAAGTATTTTAATGAAACAGATAGACAATTTCTTACGTAAAAATTAATAATTTTAAACATTCTCCGCATGCTCTGATATTAACGATATTGTTATGACCAGAGAAGAGGTTTTAATTTTTTTAAGCGAAAACCGTACATACAATTGAACAAAATCAAAAAATTAAATTTCTTTAGAAATTAGTTTTTTTTTAAGAGAAATCAGTGACGTATCATCATGTCTGCCAAAATAGACGTATTTGACTCAAAAGGAATTAGAGGTGAGGATAATAACAATGAAAGTTCTAAGTATCAGTTGGATTTGTAAATTTATGCTAAAATTAAGGTGAAAAAATATTTACAGAACATACTGACGCGGTCTATATTCCACCCCACGTGGATACCTTCACTGACGAAGAAGATATGAACGATAACATAAATCTACAAGAGTTTGGGGAATCAACTGATGTAGTTGAAACTTCCCACTTACATACATCGAATGATACCGCTGTCCTTCAACAGTCCTGTAATCAATCAACTACTGAACCTGGATGGGACTCATCAGATGATGAAACCCTGGAAATCAAAAGAAGACTTTCTGCAAACGACAGGCTTGCTTCTACTGTCAAATGGAAGAAAGATCAAATTGTGTGCACTCACACACCTATATCCGATGAATTTAGATCATGTGAGGAACTAAAAAATAGGCTTTCTGAAAAAACTCCGCTTGAAATATTTTTTATGTTTTTTGATGACGAAGTGATTGATTTGATTTTAAAATTTTCGGTAAAATATGCTCAAGACAATAACCGCCATGAATTCTCGTTGTCAATAAATAATCTTTTAAATTTTGTAGGCATTTTATTGTTCACGGGTTATCATGCGTTGCCACATATTTAGCATTATTGGTCTAGTGATGACTTATAAAAAAATGTATGAGCCGCAATAGATTCCAATTGATAAAGCAAAACTTGCACCTATTTAACAATAATCAGTTGGATAAAAATGATAAATTTTCAAAAGTTAGACCCTTCTTTGATGCAATGAATTTAAAAAAATCTTCAATTTGTCATATTTTTGTTCAACTTATCCATAAATGAACAAATGGTACCTTACTTTGACCGCCATTCCTGCAAAATGTTTATAAGAGGTAAGCCATTTCGTTTTGGCTTCAAGCTTTGGTGCCTTTGTTCATCTGATGGGTACCTATTTTATTCATGTCCATAGGGTGGTGCTCAAAATAAGCCTCATTCTGACCTTGGTCTTGACGGTGACGTTGTCATGAGTCTACTTTCTGTTGTAAATAAGTCAGTAAATCACCTACTTTTTTGACAATTTTTTTTATCATTCAAACAATTTTTACATTGAAAAATTGAAAAACTAATGGTTATTTTGCCACCGGTACTATCCGGGAAAATAGAACAAATAAATGCCCAATGGAAAATTGTAAATCATTTGGAAAAAGAGACCGCGAATCCTCTTTCACCATATGAATGTGAATCAAAAATTTCTACAGCTCCCAGATATTTGGAAAAAAATGGTGGTGGCCTTTATTTTGTAACTCACTCGATAGTTTAGTAGTGACTGCACGGAAATTGTATAATATTGTCAACCAACAAAAGACTTATAAAAACTGATAAAACAAAGAAATCTTGCACCTGTCATAGATGATGTGCGTTATGATAATCAAGGTCATCTCATGATTGACCATGCTACTAAAGCCCGAGGATCTGTAGAATCTGCCACAGCCACACCATTTACGTTTGTAATAAGTGTAATGTGCATTTACATACTTCATGTTCTGTAAAATATCTCCAAAAATGAAACCGGGTGTTACCAGGGGTGCGCTCACGCACCATAAAATGTTATGCGTTTTTTTTCTATCAAATCAGGTTCTATTTGGAAGACAATTTACTTTTAGTTGTTTTCTGTCGAATTTGAACTTTCTTTTGTATATTTATGTATAAATTACATGTTACATCTCATGTGCCCCAAAACATTATTTAATGCTTTTTCCCAGCAGTTCGTTTACGCACCAGTATTTTTTTGTTCGTTTCAAGATTTAATAATAATAATTTCAGAGCAAGAAAGTATTTTTTTTATTTTTTTTTATGCTTGCGATAATATGGGTTAAATACGATAATTCCAAGAAACCGGCGATTATCCTGTAATACTTCCGCATTGAGCGTTCCGAATCGATTATCGACGATCGGCCATTTCGCGTCGAGACGCTCTCCACTACTTTAATTTTTTAATAACAACTTCGAAAGCGGCTCATCGCAAATCCCAAATTGCACTAGCCGCATCTCTATATCGTCGTCGACGTCGGCAGCGCTCACGACCGCGCGCCGTGCTGCCACCGTCGTCGTCCTGCTAAATCCTGCAAAAAGACGCCCTGGGGCGCAGGACCGTCGTCGATACGCGACGCATCGATTCGCCGGTCGACATCTTCAAATGCTGAAACTACCACTGCCGATCGACACTATTTCGGGATTTAGTACGTTACGAGCTTCCTGCAGTATCGCGACTGACTACCGCCACGCAGAGCACGCGATTTAATCGAAATATAAACAAAATAAAACTTTCTCTCGTGTCGACTTTGAAACTCTTTTCCCTGCCGCTGATGCTGTTCCCATTGGTACTTGGTGCGAGTCCAGATTGGTTTTTTCTCTGACATTTTGGTGACCGATGAAACTTGGTTCACGTGTGTGACTGTGCTGGTTAAGTTTGATTGTTGACAGCGAGATCTGGCTCGCTCGAGGAACTGTATACGGCGTGTTTCCAATCGTGGCCGGTGAGTGTTCCATTCACACCTGCTGCGACGTCTGATTATAGACGACTATATCGACGAAACATTAAAGGGAATTTACTTTTTTCCTTGTATATACGCTTGTCGACAGATTTTATATGGGAACTGTTTTATTATATTATCGTGCCGTATGTAAAAAATTATTATTTCCTTGAAGAAATAAAGGACGAAGAATGATATAACATCAATTTATTATCCAGCTACAAGACAAGGAAATAACCTATTCTAATTGGGCCATATTTGTAAATGAACTTTTTTCTAAATAAAAAATACAAAAAAATTGCAGCAATAATATAAGTACCATCTTATTTTATAGAATGACAGGTTTTTATTTATTTTTTTTTCAAAAATACCAAAAATTATACCAAAATTATTAAATTTAAAGAGTAATAAAGGAAAAATATTAAGTTCGATAACTTAAGTATCTACCCCGCTTCAACATTGAAATCTCTCTCCACGTGGAATCCATCTACATCTACAATGATACATTTATCTGATTTTAAGCCGCTATAAGAAGACTGATGCAAGATGCATAATTTCGTTCCTAAGATTCTCTTCAGAGATTGGTTTACTATTTGGCCACAAAGGCACTAGAGATGTGAAGGGTGAGCTAATAGATGTGGATGGTCTTCCTCTTAGATTGTTTTATATTTATATTTTGTATTCTTTTGCAATTTAATCGATCTAATATGTAGCCTTTTCTCTTGTTTTGGTTAATAGTCTGTTTACAATATTTTTTTCAGTATTTAAAACGCCATAAAAATTATTATATTTTTCAATGCAGTTTCTCATAAGTTACTCATCAGGCGTATCAACACGTTGCAATGATTTTAATTTACATTCTATCTCGCTGAAATCCGAGTCGTTCGGTAACAAATTGTGTCCCGAGATTAGAAAATTTAGCATAATTTTTTCGAGTTTTGGGGTATTTTGTAAAATATAAAGAAGGAAAAGAGCCACTTTAATATTTCTGTTTTGAGCCACAGAATAAGATTTTCCGCTTCTGAGGAAATTTATGCCTGACTCTGCTTTAATATACATGATCCCACTTCTTGAGACCCTCGGTCAGCTTCTCTTTCGATATAAACATATCAATATCCGTAGTTTTCTTTACGGCTGTGAACTCCAGCATTGTATACCCAGAGCTGCGTTTTATAGAACACAATATATGTGGGTATTCGAGGTAAAGCTAAGCTAAGCACTCATATTCATCATATTCATCATTGCCTTTAGCGTTTTCAAAATCTTGAAAATTTGATGCTAAAATTAAAAAAAAAGAATAATTAATTGTTACCAGATTATTTGTTTATCTAATTTTTTCATATAATGTTTAAATGAAATAAAAAATACAGCATTAAAGAAAACTGACCGAAAAAGCAAGAATATTGATGGAATCCAAAGCAGATTTGAAGACTTCAAATATTTTAAATTGTCCCGTGATTTTTTTCTGAATCCATTTGAAATTAACCAAAGTTCGCGCAAGCCAAACTAACCAAAACTAATCGGCATCTCGTAGAATTACTGAGGAGTGCTGTCACCAATTATTCACCAAATATTATAGAATTATTAAGAGCAATAAAAAGTTACGGAACGTGTGAAAAAAAGTTTAAATACCTGTTAAGTTGTGGCTCGCGAAAATTTTCAATTTTTGAAAGATCACTCAGCCATCTTTAATTTATTATATAACACGAACCTTGTCCTGCTTAGAGTTTCTGTGTTCTCGGTGAATTAAAGTCAGGGAAAACACTACTAACATGAATTTTAAATAAGCATTTGTAGAAGTTACGTTATTGAGGCTATCCCATTATAAAAATGTAGCAATGAGTGATTGTTTAGCATTTAATGCATTATTGACAAGCTAAAACTGTTATTTTGAGTTGTCCTTCTAGAAAAAATATTTAAAAGTTAAAAGCCCAGATTCAGATTGCACAAATATGCATTAAAATCACTACTAAGAAAGTTAAAAGGACAAACACATTTTTCTAAATCTAAAGCGCAATTGTAAAATTCAAAATAATTTCTTTCGCGAACTGCTGAGTCGAATATATATTTACATTTTCCATAGAATTTTACTTAAAATTAAGTTTTGTGCATATAAAGAGTGTTTTAAGGAAAACGAGCTTTATTCTCAATGTTTGTCACATTCTGTGGGAATTTCGGTCAACACCACTAGGCGTCTGTCTAAGCCAGTGCATATCCCTTTAGGTTTTCAGTTTATCTCAGTCATTGAATGAAATAGATCACGAACGGTATAACTGTACAAAATTATCCAAATGAGGTGAATATTGAGACCTTGGACTGGCCTTCACGCAGCGCAGACCTTATGTTATGGGATCACATGGATAGGTAGCATAGAGCATTTATCATTGCAATTGATTACTTATGATTTAAATTCCATAATTCATTTGACTTAGACTCCTAATAGGGTCAGAATTCCTGCAGAATGTCATAAATATTTATTATAAAACTGGTTTTTCTTCAAATATTCCGTACACTTATAAACTTAAATTTAAATAAAATTATTTCTCACAAAACAGTTTCCGAAAAATTAAACAACAATTTAAAAATATATATCCAAATCAAGTAGGCAGTTTGCAAGGACCTTTCAAATTGACCGAAATTGTTTAAATTTGCATTTTGTCAATTTTTTTTTGTAAATTAAAATGCTCATTACAAGAAGAAGTACTTTTGTATATTGTATGAGCTTTGCCATAATTCAAATAGGATTAAAAAAATTAAATTTATGTGGACGATTATTATTTCTTTCAGTCCTTAAAATCCCCTTAACCAACAAGTATGTTCATAAATTTTTCTTCGCAGGAAACAATTTGTGGTTAGTTGTCCGTCTAATTAAACTTTTCATATAAGGAAGACTTGTAAAAATATTTGTTTTCCAAACCCTTTATAAAGTTCTTGTACTTTCTCTAATTTTCTCTTTCTTCTGACAGTATATGCCGTGGAATGACAACAAGGCTTTCAGTCAAAATAAATTATTTTTCCATGGTGGAGGTCAAGATCTGTCTTACTTTGTTTAAATTTTGATAAAATTTTGATTTTAGTTTACCAAACTTCACAATTACCTGTAGTTGTATTTTTTGATAATATAAATTTTGCGCTTATAGGAAATAATCTCGAATTTTACTTCTTTCGTGTAATTATAGCATTCGTGTCTGTGAATTCAATTCTCGCGAATTATTTATACAAAGGAACTTCTAAATTTTGCTGTGCACGTATCGCGTTCTATTATGAAAAGGTCAGAAGTTGACGATTGATGCATTTTAGATAATGCGACGCTTTTACCGCGAAAACTAGACTGTGCATCATCGCGTATCGATCACCTTCGTGGAAAATACAACTTCGCAAATAAATTCTTGGAATAGTAGTTGCTCGATTTGCGTATCCTTTGTCGTCCTATTCAATGGCAGAAATATGTAGCGTTGCAGCAAACGTAGAATTTTCTACGCCACTGCGCTAGGTTCAATCAAATGTCTTGTATACAGAGTTTTAATAACTTTGATAAAATTAAATGATACAAATTTTAAACGACGGGAGATGTTTGGGTCTTAGAAATACTATCTGGTTTTTTGATAAATTGAATAGTATCTTCTTCATTGCCTTGGATTTTAGTTCCTCAAGGTCTGTAGCATGTCAACATGATCTTGTTGGGCTAGGAGTCACGGCCGTCTTTACTCTTCCTGGTTACGATTACTAGAAGCAGATCTTGGTCTTCCTCTTGGTGACTAAAAACTGAGTTCTTTTCACAACGGTTTCTTAAGAAAACAAAATTTTTACTAGGGCTTTCACATACATTTATGATCAAATATCTGTAGTCATTCAATCTAGATAAATAATAAAGGACACTAGATTTAGCTATTATAGTTAATATTAGGTACCGTTTTTACAACGTCAGTCTCAAAATAAGTTTAATAGTTATTAGGGTCTAATTGATCACAGAAAGAGGTACTATTTAGAAATCTTCTGGATTTTTTCTGGGTTGGTTGTTGATCTATAGAGCTTGCTGACGTTTCGCCAATCATCCTGTTGACATCTTCAGAGCTAATCTGAAACTCACAATTACGCGTTTTACCACAAACCGAAACTCAATTTTACGTACTCGACGCGCGTTTCGCCAACCAAGTTGGCATCTTCAGGAGAAGATTAAAACTGTTTTAAAGTTTTAATCTTCTCCTGAAGATGCCAACTTGGAAGGCGAAACGCGTGTCGAGTACGTAAAATTGAGTTTCGGTTTATGGTAAAACGCGTTATTGTGTGTTAGCGCAGTGCCGAAGGTTCCAGCCAAGAGTTTGATAATCTGAAACTGATTCTAATTCTGAGACATGAACATTGTCTCTGATAAGTGCTTCCCATATCGGTGAAAGGTAAAATCTTGACCCGCGGTTAAGACTGTTTAGTTTAAAAGTTTCGATGGTTTCGGGGATTTTTCTTTTATAGAAGAATGGATTACATGTAACAATTTTAATTTGGTCGAATAAGATTTGATGTGCGGTTTCATGATTGTGTGCGGCAACTGCTTATGAGTTCATTAGTCGTAGTTTTAGGGCTCTTTCATGTTCTTTGAGCTTAGTTTGTCCTGTTTATCCACCGCATGGATATAGAATGGGAAATCTGAGTTCATCATTATAACAAACGTTTCATTGATGAATGAATTTGTTCCGTTATTCGATTACTAAAACATTTTCCCGTCATTACAAGGAAATTTGTATAACTCTGATGTTTTGATTTTATTTACTGGACTTCATTAATTTTTAAAATTTTAAATTAATTTTCTTAAAGAATTGCTAGATTTAAAAGATATTTTTAGATTTTGTTCACTTAAAAGAATGGACACTTTTTCAGTGGAATATCCAAAATATATCAAAATTTGGTATTTGGAATGAGAATCTTTGATTATTGGAAGAATCATTTTCAAACAACTCTGCCATTGTTTTTTTCTTTTGAATTTTGTCTATGATGTTGGACAAATA